CAATATATATGAATTTAAAGTTTTGCTGGGATCACAAGTTTTTTAAGAGGCTACTGCTATGAATACAATTACATGCTTTGAATTCACGCTAGAATAAATAGATAAAAATTATCAATAACTTAAGCTGTCCTACATTTTAAAATCTAAAACTATTTATTCTACATAAGAAATTGATCCAACATTTCTTTCACTTAAGATGAAAATAAATCTTCCAAATGAACTTGAAGTACACATTAAAATTAAGATCATAGTTTAAAAATGAAAAAACGAAGTTATTTTGTTTTTATAACGCATCATTTATAAGCAATACCATGCACTTTTTTTATTGAACTAAAAAATCTTAAATATTCCGAGCTAGAAAATTTCGTCATATATTAACAATGTTTCTGTGGGTACCACTAAAATTTAACATTATAAAAATACGTTATATCAAATCCACATTTTTATTAAGCGATATTAAGGCGCAAATTTTTATACAGATAGCTTTAGACCATCTAAAATGGTTGGATTTAATTAGAAAATTTAAACGAAAGCAAGAACGTATTGGTTTTCGCAGCACAGCTATTGTAAGTGAACGGCAGATGGACACGTGTGACGTCAGTCCGTGAATAATCACGTGACTCCCCGTTTCAGGCGAAAACGAAAGTAAGCGTTTTTTGATTGAAAATAACTAAATAAATAGCCTTCTTAGAAAAGTAATAAAATGTTTTCTGGGAGTTTTGAGGGATTCTTAATGCATTAAAATTAAAAAAAATTTTGACTGTAATTGTCCATTATAATTTTGTGTTTCTTTTTGCGCCCTCCCATACCGAAGCTTTTCTCGTAAAACGTATAAAACCCAAGAGTAAAAAAGAATGGAAGAAAAAAGAAAAAAATGAAGAAAGGTTTAAAAAAAATGTTGAAAGGGTAAAAAAAAAATGAAGAAAAAAGAAAAAAAACGAGAAGGGGTTAAAAAAATGAAGAAAAAGTGAAAAAAATGAACAAAGGATTTAAAAAATGAAGAAATGTTTTGAAAAAATGAAGAAAGGGAGAAAAAAATGAAGAAAAAGTTATAAAAAAAATGAAGAAAAAACTGAAGAAAGGGCTTAAAAAATGGAAGGAAAAAAATGAAGGAAAACGAATTAAAATCTTTGGATTTAAATTTGTAAAAAATGACCTTTTTCTTGTCCTGTACTTTATTTAAGGCACATCTAAATGGAAATAGTTTACGTTAAAATTAGAATGGCATGCTTTTAAATTTTCTGATTTTTGTTGTCACTGCAAAAAATATTATTATTATTTTTTTTTTTGGTGACAGTATACATAAAGACTTGTTCTATACAATAATTCAAAATGCGTAAATTAGATCTTACCATCTTCAACTTCTTCCGGTAACACCACATGGTGATCCTGAAAGAAAAAAAAACCCACTCAAATCAGTTATAAACTAAATAATTTGTTCATAATCTGACATGAAATGCAATAAATTTTTAGCAAAATATTTTTCCAAATAATTACACGCGGTGCAAAAATTATTACAATTTCACCAAGAATTTAAGAAGAGATAGGATTTAAAACGATTTATAATCGGTCAAATTAAAATCAATCACCATCAGCAACGGTGATTATTTATTTTTAATGAAAAAAAAAGCGATTTTCATGTACTCTATAACTTTCGTAAGGGATGTTTATAGGAAGCAATTTATATCAGTGTTTATATCTTTTTACTATATGGCAGCAATCAATTTAGTATCTTAATTATGGTTGTGAAGACGTATTCCATGATAAATCTGTCATTCCTGTATCTAACTATAATTTCAGATAAGATATTTTGTAAACGTATTAGCCCTAGTTTATGCACACAAACAAAGAAGCATTTTCCTCCTTTGCTTTATATAGCTGCTGAATTACGATTTATATAAAACGACTGATTTTAGTGACACGCAATTTTCCTGATGAATTTGCGCATTGGTTCGTAATTAAACTTTTCTTATTCCGATTTACACTGCTGATCATTTATGCTACAAGTACGTCCAAGGCGAAATTATAATAAACGAAATAGACACATGGTTTCAGATAGCTTTAAGATGCGTTTTAACAAGTTTATATTAACCGTAAAGTTTGAAGTTTCCAAATAAGCTTGCACAATAATAAAATAAGTTAAATAAGCTTGCATAATAATAAAATAAGCCAGATGAGTTTGCAAAATTCGAAACTCGAGTTTCGTAACAATTGTTACGAAACTCGAGTTTCGAATATTTTTTGTTTTATTACGAAAGCTAATAAAAAGTAATTTCTAATTTCCTTATTAGAATATTTACACGACTTTCTAAACTATTTGGGGACCGCATTCGATGGTTTAAAGCAGTGATTATCAAACTTATTTCTTTTACCGCCCCCTTTGAAAATCAATTATTTTTCAGCGCCCCCCATTTTTTATACACCCCTAAAACTTAAAAACCACAATTTCATTACTTTAATTAATTTATATANTAGAGCTTGACTGAGAAGTACAGGCGACTTGTACACGATACTGACTACATTGCCACAAACCTGCCATCAGTCTCAAAATTGTGGAATCTTAACCTAAATGAACTCTCTGGCTCACAACGGGCGGTGAAGGAAATGCTTTTAGGAACGCTGTTATTTTATTTTATTTTATAACCGTCGTTGAACAGCCGACCCAATTTTAGGGTTTACGACTACTAATGTTCAACTCCGTAGACTAGTAATTTTGAAACCAATCCAGAAGACAAGGGAACCCCTGGATCAAGTATTAGGAGAAATTTGCCTTCGTGGTTTGATAGAACTAACCCGCATTTGCGTTACATGGAGAGGAAGACTACGAGAACTTCCCACGGTTAGCTTAACGGCAAGGAGACTAACCCATGATCCGTCTACCACTGAATATATTTCACGTCAGCACTGTGGTTAGTGCAAGCCGGATATGGAATTTCTATCGACAAACCATTGTTGGGATTCGAACCCGGTTCACCTAATTGGTAGGCCAGTTAATTCACCCCTGTTAAATAGCAAAATTAAGCTAATATCTCTTGTTGGTGTTATCTTTATATTTTAAAGTAAGTCTAACAGGTGGCCGAGCGGTTAGCTTGCCTGACTGCGAAGCCAACAGTTGCGGGTTCGAATCCTACTCAGGGCATGGATGTTTTTCTCTGTGTTGTCCTCTGTTGTGTGTGAATGTGGCCCACCCTATGAACGAGTATCTGTAGCAGTGTAGCGTGTAGGTAATGTTACTCGTCTCCGTGACTTTGGTTACTAGGTGCTCACCAGGCAACGAAAAATAAGCAACACTTCTGCCATCTTCCATGGAGAAGAACGATAAGTTCAGAGCCTGCCGTTAAGAAAAAATCTTTTCGATGGGGTGGGGAAAAAAAGAATCGGGAGCAGTTTACTTCGTAACAATGCGTAATGGCTAGTCCGAAAATAAATAAACAAAAATAAGACAAAATAATGAAAAATAATAATTTGAATCAAGTCCCTTCAAGAGAATACAAATTGAAGTTTTAAACGATTTATAAGAATCGGAGGCTGGAATTGTTCCTGGATTCAGTTTTAGGGTAACTAGCTCAAATGATTTTGGAGTTAAAAAAGATAGAGAAGTTTTAACTCTATAATCATGATTTGTTCAACAAATTTAAATTTAGTTACTAAATTTAACTTAAAGAGGGAAAAAAACTATAAAGAAAGAGATCCCTTAAGGAAAAATTGAGGTATTTTTGAGGCATAAATGAGGCATTTTTAAAGGTATAAAGGAGGCTGTTATTTAAATACGTCGTTAGGTTGAAAAGGGTACAAATGAATACCTGAAAATCAACCTCAAATATACCTCCAGAGGTATATATGTATCAACCTTGTATACCTTAGAATTCAGTTTGGTTGATATGAAGTGAATTTAAAACGATCTCAAAATTAGCTTAGGTATAAATAAAATGACTACATACACCTCCATAAATACCTCACTCCCTTAAGTTGAAATAAGGTAAATTTTTTTTATACCTCATAAATACTTCTTTTGTTATAGGTGCCAGAAAAACAACCTGTATACCTTGAAAATCACCTTATCAATCTGGTTGATTTGAAGTGAATTTTTTCTACACCTCAATTACAACCTTTATGAGGTATAAATTTTATGGTTGTTTTCTCAGCAACCTCAAATATACATCATATATATATACCTCAAAACAAACTCGATACCACAAAAATACCTCAAATATACCTTTAATTTCCTTAAGGGATTTCAGCAAACAAATACAGATGATATTGTGACATAGAAAATATTGTATAAATAAAAGACATTTATTTCGTCAACACATTTAAAATTTAGTCGTTAGAAATAACTCAAAGATCTTCTCAAAATAGTTTCTTTTCGGCATAAATATTTTCAGAATTTTCGAACGTCAGTTTCACATTTAAACATTGGCATATTACATTTTATTTTCTTTCTAGTATACAAGTGAAGGTTTTGAGAAATATTTTTCCCATAGGTAGTGAACTATAGCCAGGGGTCTGTTTAGAAGAAATTTGGGTCCGTTAACGGACCCTTCACAAAGTGTTTTAACTTGAAAACGGACCCTTCACAAAATATTTTAACTTAAAAACGGACCCTTCACAAAATGATTTTTCTTTTAATCGGACCCTTCACAAATTTGTTTATCTTCATTATTATTTTGTTAATCGAATAAACCCTTTCCAGGGCAGAAAACAAGAAAGATGGATGTAAACGAATTAAGTTTTGTCTTCGGCAGACGATTCTTCCATTATTCGTCCGAAATTAATATTCTGCGTTCAGCAGTATAGGCTAAATACCAAATATTTGTATGTTATATCTCTAATTTAGAAGCAGCAATTGTAGTTTATTTTTTAAAATTTAATTTTTTTAATTATAATTTTACAGTGTTGAGCATAATCTTGTATATCTTTACAATTTAAAAACTCCTTGAAAATTTTTTTTTTGCAATAACGGACCCTATTTGCACAAATTCATGAAAGCGGACCCTGGTTGAAAGAATGTGAGTAATTTTTTCACAATTTCACGAAAAACGGACCCTTCACAAAATGTCTGGACAGACCCCTGATAGCAGAGATATTTAGAATAGAAATTTTACGAAAAACATAAGAACATGGTCATTTGCTTATAAGTCCTGTTTTTTCTTTTCTTAATTTATAGTCATCGAAATAGAAAAATTGCAATATTTTCTAGTTATGATTGACATTAAATAAACTTCAAATGTTATGTATTATGTTTACTCATAATTTTGAATGGTAATAGGCATTTAATTCATCAATTTATTAATTTTTTCATTCATGCATTTAATTAGTTCATGTACAGTTAAAATGTATTTTTTACTTAATTTAAAAAGGGATTTTTGAATAAAAAAATAAACTGAACATTTTAGAACAAAAAAGTTTTTAATTGATTTATATCAATGAGGCACGTTTCATTGTGTATTAGTAATACTTATTTAAATTTTAAGGAAATCAATAATCTGTGCAAAAATTTCAATAGGGATTGTTCCTTTTTAAGAAGACTAACGCACGTTTAGGGAATTTTCTAAAATTTACAAAAACAAGGAGAATTTTTATTAATATAGTAGACCATATGAAATGGTCAAAAACCAGTAGTTTATTGGAAAATCCAACAGAGTTGGCAGCTCTGTTAATACATTAACCTTGATTACGGACTTGGTAATATACTAGGAAATAACTACAAACCATGCATTTAGTCAAGCCAAAATTACAAGCAATGTACTAGGAAATATATTTCCAGAAACTATGGAAAATCCTTAATGGTAACCCATGTACCAATAACAATATTATTTTATTTCAAATAGTAAGCAAATATTAATGTACAATTTTTTTCTTCAAATTTTAATCCTTTTCCTTTACACATTTATACACTGGTATAAGAAATTAAGAGAATTTTTCGACTTGGTCGATTATTTTTAAAACTACCGGGTCGATTTTAATGAAATTCGATATGTGCATACATTGATACAATACAAAACAAATAACCATTCAGCAAATGTAATACACACTCAAGATCTTGCGTAACACTCGTTGGAGTCGGAAGGTATGAAACAGCGGTTGCAGAATAAACAAACAAAAAAAAAAATGGTCCCCTCTTACAGATATATCGGCCTTGCAGCGTGATTTCATACTTGAAATAAGGCAGTTTATTATTTCCCGTTGCAATGGTCCTGAATTGTCCTGTGGCGATTTCATACCTTCCGACTCCAACGAGTGTTACTCACGATCATGCGTGTGTATTACAATTGTTGAATGATTATTTGGTTTGTATTGTATCAATGTATGTACATATCAAATTTCATTAAAATCGGCCCAGTAGTTCTAGAAATAATCGACCACGTCTGCAAATTTTCCTAATTTTC